ACACATACTCTCCAAATCCTCTATTTTGCACCCATTCTCCCAAAGGAGACAGCCCCCCACCTCTTGCCTCCCTCACCACCCAGACTAGCTCTCTGGCCCACCTCCCACCGGCCACCTCACTCCCCTTGGTAGGACTCCAAGCCATGTACCCACCTCACCTCCCACCACATGTGCATAGATATCACACCGCATGGGGTCCACAAATGGCGGGACTGTGGGTCCCCAGCACCAGACCCAGAGATATGGGGGGTCTGACCAGCAGCTTAGTTCTGCCATGGCTGCTGCAAGTTACTTTAAGTCCCAGGAGCAGAGATGTGTATGTCTGCCAAAGTCCTTGGCCTGATCAGGTTATCTTTATATTGTAACATTCAGAGTTAATGAGCCTGAAGTAATCTGATGGAGATGAGGCTCAAGTAGAAACATGCAAGGAAGGAAGCTAGGACTGATCTTCCTCTGGATATTTCCGAAGAGCAACCGGACTTTGCACCAGCCAGGGTTGAGCAACAGACTGATGAAGTGTTCCGGCACCTCGCAGCATCAGCAGCTGGACCTCGAGGCGAGGGGGAACCACAGATTATACAGCTGGTCAGTGAAACCCCTGGAAACTGTGACAGTGCTAAACCACTTCAATCCAAATGTGCTCAGACTAAAGTTTACCAAAGCCTAGTCCTAAAATCAGACCTGCAGGTCCCAGTTTTCAAAAGGCAAGGAGTGCCGGCTGAATTTCTGTGGGCTCTTACAAAGACTCAAATTGCACATGCAACATTTTCCTCTAGCATAGCAACTGCAAAGCCCTGCTTGGATTTGCAAAGGTTGCCATGGCTCTCCCAAACTCAGAGATTATTGACAGTAATGCGAGTTACTGTGCCGGGCTGTGAGCTGCCTGGAGGGAAATCCCTGTGCTGGGGCTCGGTGCAGAGAGGGGCTTGCTCAGAGGCCGTGGGGCACCTGGCCTGTTTGGCCACATTCTATAAACCGCCAGGAACAACTTTGCTAAATGTACATCTCTGGGGTACAGGGGTGAGCTGGCTCCTCTGGGGCCTGACCACAGCTGTCCCTTGTCAGGGAACACAGGCTGGGAGATGACCCGAATGACGGGGTCCTGGAGCACAGGACAGGGACAGCTGCCCCCTCTCCAAGCTCACAGCTCAGTGGTGGGACTCAGGCTCTGCCTGCGCCAGGGTCATGCAGAAACATCCTGTCTGGAACAAATGTGCTGTTGTTTTGGTGACCCTGGCAAAGCTCTGGGCCCCCAGTGCAGAAACTGTTGGAGCAGTTCATCACGTCCCTCCCTCTGGACCCTGGTGCCCAGGGTTCTGTGCTGCTTTGGGCTGGTATCTGACATTTTGGGTGGTGAGAAAAAAAATGTTACACATGAGAATGAAATGGGCATTTTTAAATGCTCCATGCATTTTTATTTATTTGCTTTGCCATAGGGTTTCCTCCTGCTGCAGCCCAGGCGAGTAGGAAGCAGTCCAGTCTGGTGACCTGTGCCCTCCCCTGGTTACTCAAGATGGTCACGCCGTGACTCATGCTCTGGCCCTCACATGAGCCATCAGCAGACAGGAGTGTTTCAGGAGACTTTAACCAAGTAGGGTTGTGCAATCCAGCCAAGGCCTCCTCAAAACACTCGTTTGCAGAGAAATGTTATGCAATGATCACTCATTTACTCGCAAAGAAAGGATCCCAGTGTGAGGGAGAGGAAGATGGAGACCTGCTGATCCCAGCAACTGCTGCAAAGAAAAAGCCAAAAAGGCCATGTGGCCACTTTGTGCACAGAGCTGATTTAAGGCCACTTTGCACCCAGTGATACAATGTCAATAATTCACTGAAATAATTACACTGGCATGACATGTATAACCTAAAATAAAAGCCATTGAAATCAAAGGCAGTTTTCCTGATGAATTCAAGAGCTTTTGGGTCTCATCATGCATCAGTCACCAACTGTACTTCGAAACCCAGCACAAGCCTGGCTTCTTTCCCCAGGCTTGTGGAGCGATGTGGGCTGGCAGGGACTCCTGGAGGTCGCCAGTACAATCCCTGCTCAAGTGCGGCGGCCTCCTAAGGCTGCTCGGGGCCTCCCATCCCTTCAGTGCTGCAGGTCTGCGGAGCTGGAGATCATACAGCCTCGCTGGGGCCCTGGTCCAGCACTTCAACCCCTTGCACTGTGAAAAAAGGTTTCCTCCTATCCAGCTGGTGGATAGACCCTGCCTATCCCACCACAGTACCTCCTCGGGTGGGTGTTGCTGCTGTGGGATACTGGCCAGCTCTGCCTGCGGTGCATGGGATTACAGACTTGTAATATTCCTGTTATCTCCTGCCACTTTCGGGGTATTGTGTCCCTAGGAAGGATGCGGCCTCCAATTCAGAATTGCCTGAGCTCTTGGCATTTAGCTGAAGTGTCCTTTTCCTCTGCTGCTCCTCCATCCCTGTTCTCACAGGACAGAGACTGAGCACAGAACAAGAGGCCTCCAGCCTCCTGCCCTCGAGACGGGCATGGCAGCTCAGCACTTACCTGAAGCCATCCTGGTGAGAGAAGATGAAACTTGGTTTGGACAGAGCTAAAATACTGCTACTTACTGGAATCTGTACAAAAGTGCATTATCTCCAACTCCAGGTGAACTGCTTTCTGCTTTACTGCTGGTAGGGAAGGGAGGGTAGTTACATGCACTCCTGAACTAAACTGTGTCCATATAAGTTTGCATTATAAAGAAATAGCACCCAGTGCAGTATGGAGGCTATCATGCCTCCTGCCCTCCAGGTCCTCTGAGAGGAAAGGCAGTGAACTGCTGGGTGCAGCAGGATGTTGGGTGGAAACACATGGCAGATTTGGCACAGAACACTAGGAAAAGGGCCTTGAACTCTGTTCTTGGCAATAAGGAGGAGGACAGGAAGCCCTGGCTGGTGCCAATGACAATCTTTCCAGGGGTTACGGATATACACAACTGTTCTGTTCAGGAAAGGTTTTCATAAATAACACAGCCTCAACTTTGCCCTGTTCTGCCTGGTGATGACAATTTGCTGGGAACCTGACAGTTTTCTGTATTTTGCAGAAGTCATGCCTGCACCCCGGCATTCTAGGAACGGCAGCCTGAGCAGCTGCGTGCCTGCAGGAGGAGTGAGGGCATCTGCACTTGCCCAATATACCGCAAGATACTCTGGCGTAAGACTAACCTTGCACAATCCTAAAGTGATTTTCTTATCAGGTTCTATTACCATCCCAAAATAAACAGCCTACCATGCCGGCACTGTGTGATGCTCCTCCAAAGAGCCTTAGAACAAATGTATTTATCAGTGTAGGTGAAGGTTGTTTTTTTTTTTTCTTCTGCAGGGCTGCAAAGGAAATGGGTCTCTGGTTAGAACTGCAAATTCAATAGCACATTAATGCTTTTTGCATGGCACAGGTAAGAACCTGCTGCATCTCAAGACAGTGCTGTGGGAGCAGTGACATCTTCAGCAGGTTGCCTCTTTCATTCATTTCAGCATATCCCCGAGGGTAGGGGTAACAATGCCATGGGTAACATTTAGGATGATGAAGCTCTGGAAATAATTCTTGCAGGAGGAAAACAGCACAAAATCCCACTCTTGCATGTTTCAGCTTTGCATCCTGAGAGCTATGAGGGTCTGCAGGAGGGCCAGGGCACATGATGGTAGTAAGGTACAAGTGCCACCTGGGTTTCAAGTTCCTCCTGCCATCAGGGAACCCCTGCAACACATGCAGGCACTCAGTAATAATACTCTCTTATTTTTAGATTTCTGCTAAAAACCCCAGCTTTACAGCTGAAAAGAAACAAGAAGCAACTCAAAAGCAGCACATATCTGAACTTTCAACAACCTCCAAGGTGCAATTTTCATTTCTTGATTCAGTAAAGCCTAGCTCCACATACTTCTACCTCTTCCCACCCATCTTGACACTAGCTGTGCTCTGGGATTTCACTCACTCACTCAGCAGACAGCTGGAAGTGCTAATGCTCCTGGCTTTTATCTGGCTCTTCCTTTAAATAGAAGTAGTTTCAGTTACACCCCCTTCAAGCCTTCTCCTCTGAGCAGAGCTCCCCAGAGCTCTCTCCATCCTGGAGATCCTGGTTTCATTTTTAACAAAGCTTGCTATTTTCCCATAGAGGTAAGGTAATTTTGTGTTTTTTAACGTACTTTGGAAAGAACCCTGAAGTAATTCTGTATCCTGCCTCCATGTGTAAGAAGGTATGGACAACCTGAAAATATTTTGAATCACCTTGTAACTTCTAATTTTCCCTGTTTGTCATTTACTGAGTCACCTCTAAGGAGTGGTGCCTTCAAATGTGATTTTGGGCTTTTGGTATTTTTTTGTTGTTGCTTTTGAGTTGGGGTTTTAGAGTTTGTTTTGTTTTTTGTTGGTTTGTGTGTTTTTTTAATGACCTTTCTTATAAAAGGCTCACAGGGGACAGATAACCTGTTAGTGCAGTATCATAAAATAACTAGCTCTCATTCATTTTCAAGACACGAAATGTCTAATACTGTATTGCCCTGTAGGTTGATTAAACTGTCAACTTTATTTTTATTCACAGGCAATTCCTGTACTCTATGACTTCACGCAGGTCTGTGTATATATACACATTTAATTATAGCATCCTGGTGCTAAATTTACAGCATTAGATATTTGTATTTTTCTTTGGGAAACAGTGTTTTCTACCCACAAAGACTTGTGCTGTTCACATCTGATAGTTCTTGAATGCAACTCATTTCTTAAAACTGTTAAGGAGTTAACACTTAAAGAACAAACTTTGGTTTCTTCACTCTTTAACCAATCTGCAAATTAGTCACTGTAATGGAATTCATTAACTTTTTTAAAAGCTAATAGTTAGCAATAGTATAAAAAAAAATTCCAGAATTAATGGCTCAATATTTAAATTTAGCATAGATTTAGCAATCACTGATAGGTGCCTTGTAGTGTTCATCCAGAGATTCATGAAATCATTGCGCTTTGAAAAAAATCATCCATCTTGAAAGTGCCAGGTGGTCCTGCCAAAATGCCTCTGCCAAAGCAGTGGGCTGCCACCTCAGCAGGGGAGATGTAGGGGAGAGCACTGTCAAGTGCTGTGTTGCTCCTGGTCAGGTGCCTCAGCTCCCAGCACAGTTCCAGTACGGTGGTTGACTCTCTTCATGTTGCATGCACGTAAAGTCTGGATTATTGCAGTTATGAAAAGTTATCACTTGTAGTAAGGGTTATATTGGAGGCTGTTGTTTCCATCAATACCCAAGGCACACTTGATTCATGGCCAGGCATATTCTGCAACAGAGAACAATAATGATAAGAAACTTTTCAGGTGCTCTACTCTCAAACTATTTCCCAAACTGCCTGCAGTGGGATGCCCCCAGGAGTAGGGGTTCTTCACCTTTTGGGTTGCATGTGCACACTGCCTAAACTACCAGTCAACTCTCCCATTCCCCATCCTTCTGCTTTCTTCTCTCCCTTTTCTTCCTCTCGCATGACTCACAAGCTAGGATCCCATCCTCTACCACAAGCTCTCAAGACAGAATTTCAACACCATGCTTCCCTTCCCCCTACCACACCACCATAAGGGTCAGCTTGGACCATTACCACACCCTCACAGATGAGGGCCCTAGCACCACAGGGCGCCCGCAGCGCTGTGGTGTTCTGAGCCAGCAGGTGAAGGGGCAGCAGAGAAAATACAGTGGTTCCCAACACTGCTTCAGTATAAGATCATATAGGAGTTACCAGGCAACACTCTTGCATCAGTCATGCTATTCTATGTTATGTGGGGCAGTGGGATTCTCTGGCTGTAGTTTCCCCTGAGGGCCTTCAAGAAGGAAATTAAAGAGTTACTGGGGAAATGGGTCATTATGACTGGGAGGGGACTAACAATGATATGTTTTCCAAAATAAGCATTCCTAACTTTAGAGTGTGAACTTTAGTGACAAAATGGTAAACTGAGCAGAACAAGTGAGAAGTTAGCATTAGGCTTCATCTCCCTATTAGCTTCTGCTTTTTGAGCCACAGATAAAACTACACAGTATATCTGGGAACCTCATTACCTGTCAATGGGGTATCCTCCTTCACAAACGTTGACCAAGGCATACAGCTGTCTCAGTGCATACTCATACTGAAATAAACAAACATTGTTAATAATTTGAGTGATGAAGAGCAGGTATTGTTTATCCAAACTAAACTGTGGAAGTAATTTAGAGATGCTATCAATATTCAAGGTGTTTAATTGATGGTCTTGATGCTCTAGTACTAGGCTAAATGTATTTCTTCTGTGCACTTTGCTCTTTGAACTTCATTAGGTAAATTCAGCTGTTGCTGCATGTTGGCCCCTTAGGCAAGGCTTACCCATCTAAACAATTTAATTCAAAAAACCCCACTAAGCAAAACAAAAAAAAACTCTAAAGAAGAACTAAAAGTTTAACAGAGCAATGTGGCCTCCTAATAGCCTAGCTGATCAGAAGCTCCAACTGAAGGAGTGTGTCTGCTTTTGATTTGTATACAGTACTTAAATCTTGGCTAACTGCCAGGTAATCCTATCGCTTTCTGCTAAAATCAATTAATTTGCTGTTGACTCATCTTACCACACACTGCTGCCTCCTTAGGTTATCTTTCGTGACATCAGGACTGGGTTTTCTGGAATAGGAACTGACCTCTCTTATTCTTGTCTAAACAATGCTTAGCACAGCAGGATTTGGCCCTCAATTGGGATCCCAGGAAGAGTAGACAGTAATAACCCCCTAAACTAAAAAATGTTGAATTCTCAGCAATTCAACAAAACCACGGGAGTAGTGGGTAGGCTATTGTAAGGAACTATGAAACACAATTGTAATACAGAAATCTGAATGTACCAGGATTATGAGTTCATAGTGGTGGTGCTTGTGTTTCTGTATCGTCATTAGATTTGCTTCAAGCAGAAATTCAACATGACTTACTGAATATTGGGATTTCTGGGTAAGGAGTTGATGAAGGGACAGCACTAACTAGTAAAAATTAGGGATTATTTTTGGGTTTGTTTTTTAGTGAAAGTTATTTTTAGTAATCTTCTTGCTTATCTACACGTGTAGTGGAAGTGGTTTCCTGCTTCCAAAAAACCTTACTTACCCTTCCTCCAAAATTAAGCTGTGTTACTGCCCCCAAGCTAGCTTTTTAATAAAAGCTGGTTTTGCAGACATGCTTTTGACTACTGTGCTCGTCTTCCCGGTATGTTTATCAGGTTATATCTAATGCTTGACTTACCAATGGTAAATGCCAGTTGAAGCAATGAGCTTTGAAGTGGTTCACTGCTGACTGGTAGCAGTCATAATTGCTGATGGTCAATCTGTCTGACAGAATTTGGTTGGTCTGTTCTTTTGATCCTGTTACTAAGGTGACTATCTTTCGCATGGATTCTTGGATAAATTCTTTCACCTGCACATAAAACAACAAGAATTTAAAACATGCTTTTTCTAAACCTGATTTTAAGACTTTGAATGAAATTTCTTTCTTTAAACCTTCCTCAACTCTTGGGCTCTTTAAGGAGCCAATTTTGCCATTTATTTTTAGTACAACCTTTTGGACCTGTCTCTTAACACACAAATGAAAACTAGGGAGACAAAGTCAGACTCCTGGCACCCAAAATCAGTCGCTGTCCTTCTAGTGTTCTGCCAGAAGAAAGAAAACACCAACATCAATACTGACTACCATTCTGCAGGAGCTATTCAATTTGGGACACTTCAGCACTACTGAGACAAGAGTTTCTCTAATACTGAAGAATAAACTCTCCCAGTACGAATCTCTATGGATGCAGATGAGGAATTTCCTGGCAATAAAAGTTCTCAGACTGACTTTTGCATTTGCTTACACTTGCCTAGATAACCATTACTGAAGGTGCCTTATGGAACAGATCCCTGAATTTTAAAGGAAGAGTAAACCTTCAGCCAGAAGTTGCAAAACCTGGAAGCAATCCCATTGGCTTCAGGGGTGTTACTTCTGCCATGGCTTATGATGGAAACAAATCTGACCTGATGTGTAGTTCAAATTTTGCTTTTTTGCTTACCTCCAGGTGTGTTTTCATCTCTGCAGCAATCTTCTTAGCCTCATAAATGTCATTGGTAGCCATCAGCTTTCGTTTCATGATTGCAAAAGGCACATCAGGACTAGGCGTCAGGTCATAGCGTTCTACGGGTGGCAGAGAAATGGGGATAGCTTTCTTCCCCATGCCCTGAAACTGCATCACTTTCATGGAGGAGATGCTCTGAAGGTTAGAAAGTAAACAAATTGAAACTGTGTCAGTCACCTCCAGTAGGTAGCCTGTCTTTGCTTTGCCATGCAAACCTAACTCTCTAGACTTGCTTTATTAGAGAAAATAAAGAAGATCATAGAGTTCTGAGTGTGTGTGTCTGCATGCATTGGGTTTTTTAGTACAAAGTCGAGGCTGCCAAAAAATATGGGAACTTTTATTTCCAAAACTCTAAGTGGTTTTCTGAGATAAACAGTTTTTTCTAAATCAATCCTGCTGGCTTACAGTGACCTTTTTTTTTTTTTTAAGGGATGGAAGTATAAGGCACAAAATGTTTTAAGATATATCTGACCAGGAAGCCCACTCAGATACATACTCTGTTTCCGTACTGCATCACATGGCTGGTGTTGGTGCGTTTCTTCACCAGCTGAAACTGCTTGTGGAGTGTTTCTTTTCTTAGATCCTCCTGCATGAAGAAACTCACATGTGGTCACAGATACTTAAATTCAGCTCTTCTAAAAATGCACGGAAACCTGGAAAGGGTGTTAGCTGCCAGTATGTAGAAGAAAGCATAGGGCAAGAACTATACAACCTTTGAAAGACATAAAAGTAAAAATTGAAAAGAAGATTTGACAGCATATTCTCAAATTGCTTTTAGTGATCTCCTAACCTCCCAGCAAATGGGCAAGAAGGGAGAGGGCTAGCATACCAATCCCGGATTTGTTTAATACTGTTTTCCGTTATGCTAACAAATGGGTTAGCCACAATTCAGTATTTAAGGATCCCTGAAACAGAGGTACAACTTGGTGACTGGACCAATCTGTTTAGCAAATCTGGAGATGTGGTCTTTGATTAGCAAATCAAGATTATGTGAATTTGAAACTAGAAGTTGGACAGTTTCTAATCTTATAAATAAGAAAAGATGACAATTTCTGAAAGTTAGTTTCAGAAATAAATTTAGTGTCCCAAACAAATAAAGAGTATATATGGTTCTGAGTAGTAGACAAATACTTTTACTAACTCAACTTGTTGATTTCAGTCTCATACAAAACAAATATTTTCACAAATCCTGTAAAGGGAGATATTTTAAAAAAGCCTAGTGATTTTTTTTTTTTGCATGGGAATGCAGAAACCTCATCTAAGTAACTTACCATATCTGAATCTTCCATCCAATTCACACTGTACCAGTCCCCAAGATAAGTCTGCCTTTCATCATCATAGTAACATGCATAAGATGACTCTCTGGGATTAGCAGCTGTTGTTGCATAAACTGTAAAACAAATAGAAAGTAATTTTTTCTTTTTTAACATCTCACATGATTTAGTACTTAGACAACTATATCACATGCAGCTAAATATTTTGGCTTTCAATAATTTACTGCTCAATAGCAGGAAGCAAAGAAGCCTGGTAATCGTTCTGTTCAGTCAGCCTCAGTGCTGTTATAAGAGCTCCTTCCTTGCTGCCAAATGTGTGGTCTGGGGTGTTTAAAGAAGAATATGCACTTCTGAGGGAAAAATCTACTATTCAAAGAACCACCTGAGAATACTGTGCACTGACAACTACCTATACATTCATTTTCTTTATCGCAATAATGAGGACTTTTTCCCAAACTTGGAGTAAATCCCCTAAAACATCTTTTCTTCCAGAAAACACCACATTCTAAGTAATAGCCTTTCTTGGATAACACTCTACGCTGAGAGAAACACAAAACAAACCTCTAAAACATCTGCCCCAAGCACGGTGTTCCCAGTAAGTCCTCTCTAACGCAACAGAAATACTGTCTTTATGGGTATTAAGACAAAAGCTATTTCGGCTTTTTACCAAAGTCAACTTGTGTCAACTTGTGTAACTGAAGGAAAGTCCAAGTTTCAGAACAAAAAAGTGGTAGGCATGCTTTTATATAGCTACACTATTGTTTCTACTCAGAGGGTACTTGAAGTTCAAAAGCCAAAAAAGAGTCTTAAATCTTGTCTTTGTAGTAGAATGCTGCTCTTGGCATCCTTTAAAATGCTTACTAAGTAACCAGTTAAGCTCTGTAACTCGCCATGGAAGGCTGACAAAGACAGCTTTGTAGTGTAATTCATACATTGTAAATTTTCCACCTTTTTAAGTCTGTGGCAGAGCTGCTGGTAAAACCAGAGTTCTCAGACTGGAAATCTCTAATAGAATAAACTTTGAAAAATGCTGATTCACTGAGCACTTATTCTGAACAATCATCAATATGAAACGTTCTGTGTGAACTTCCTGTACATCCTTGATAGGGCTGTAGGAAGTCTAGGTGGGTGCCAGGCAGCTTACTCCAGGGCCAAAGACCCAGGAAGCCATGGATATGCATGTGGTTGGTCTTCCCTGGAAACACAGCATCAAAACTACAGGAAAGCCAGAGCACCCAGCCTCCCTGCCCTGGAACAGGAGTTTGAAAAGGCTGTGATTCCTAGTCTTAATCAAGGCTGAGCTCACAGCTCTGCAGCATAGAGCTTAGAAACCCTGAAAAAATCTGAGTAGTTCTTCCTAGGTTATTGTGCAAATGAGTGTAGCAACATTGCTTGGCAATGATGTCTCCCAAGTGCCTTTGCTACTCACTGAAACTGATGGCAGGAACTTCACGCCTGCTGTTAGCAGTGCTGAGGCTGAGAAATGTCAGTATAACTTAACTGCTACCAGTTAACAGCAACCACATAGTTCCTGAAAAGAAATAATTTTCAGCTGCTCATTTGCAAGAAACTGAAAGCCCTGATAGTCTTATAAGACTCCATTAGTTCTTTAAAAGCAACTGCCCATAAATGGAAATTATTAATTTCTCTAATTTTTGTGCTCCCCTGCTAAAGCTGTACATAGAAGTGCCTTGAACCTATCCAGCAGCATCTGTTTAGGTCCTGCCTGTGACAAGTTGTGACATTTAAGTTCCGTAATTTAACTGATTGCTCACCATTGATATTATCAGCCAAATGATTCATCATAGATCCAGACTCGCATGCTTCAATGTAAAACACCATCTATAAAATAAATCAGAGACCTTACGAAATTGCATGAGGAAATGGAGAAAAGTCCTTCAGGCCAACTAGCTACAGCTGAAAAGCACTGTACTGCTATCCCTGAAACAAAAGCTATCCATAATGCTACAAAATGAAACACAAAAGTGAAAAGATCAATTTTTCATTTTTGGGAACTAAACTATGTGGAAAAGGGAAACAATCACAATGAAAAGATGCTATTCTTCTGTAGAATCCACAAGGATCTACTGACGAATGCACAAAGCAATTACACAGTTGCTCTTTAAGCACAGAGATGTGCAACTGTTGAATGTAGTATTTCTGGAACCAATGGCTATTTATGTGCTCCTAAATACAGCCAGCCACAATAGACACTACCACAGAAAGTTGCTTAGAAGAGGCAAGCTACTAGAATGTTCTAAATACTAGTTTTTCTGCTTAAAACTACTTGTGATGTAATAAATGCACAGAATTTTCTGACAACAGGTACAGTTTCTTAAACAATATTAGTAACTGTAAGAGAAACATGAGGTATATATAAACTTCCTGTAGTAGCAGTGCAGTCTGAAGTGAACAAAGCACAGGAAGAACAAGTCAGGTATGCAGTATGAGGGTGCAGTAGTTACAGATGTTTCTCCACCGTTGGTCAGAATATAGACTGTTATGAAAAGGCAGTATGCTCTATCTCAACACTGACTGCAAATATACAGTAAACTAAAAATGGAAAGAGAAAATTTGGAAAGGATCAATCCTTTCAAGTGCAAAATTCTAATACAAGCTTCATTGCATGGCAACAGCTTCCTCCTGCTTTAAACGATTCTCAAAATGAAGACAAATCTTTCTCTTCCATGCCAGCCGTTCTTTTAATCTCACAACTTCTAATACGCTGGTTTACCTTCCGGTATTTTTTGTGATGATACATGTACCAAATAGTCTTATTCAAGTCCTTCACGTGAAGCTGTAAAATAAGAAGGCTTGTATTAAAACCACTTATATTCAATAGACATACAATTCACTTAATAGGAATAAATACTAACTGTTGTGAATATGTTTACTGTTTCCCCTTAAATATACCCACTGCTTTGCCCTTCCGAGATATGTTCTAGTATTTACCACTTCAGAAAAGATTAGTAATGCTCTCAGATGATATGTATAGTGCACCAGAAAGCCAAGTCCTACTTGTGTGAAACAGTCTGCTTGGACCACCAAAGTCCAATGAAATACTAAATGACATAACTTAATTTCAACTTGAATGCTTCAGATTCAAACTGGAAAAATCCAGACTGGGGTGATGAGGAGAATATTGCTCCTTTTTGCACCCTCTGCCCGCCCAATACAGCAGTGCATCAAATATTTCTGTGTTTTACATTTATTACTTATTATTTTAGTATGTCACTAAAAGGATGTTTTTTATGACAAAGTAATCCCTCAAAATGCTTACATCATCATCAGGAAAAGCCAGAAGTCCTGGAGCTCCATGGTCAGTGAAATAAACAAACACATGATCCTTGGGACCACTATAATGAAAAAATAGCAAACAAATTCTTTCTAACAACTCCAACAAACGCCATCTGCTTCTCAATGCCAAGACATGTCAAGATTAAAAAATAATACAGCTGGAGCACCTCTTCCTCTTGGTAATATTTTTTTCCTCCCAAACCACACTACTTTGGGTGCTTATGAGAGGAGATGAGTGTGTGCAAGAGCAATGAAAACAGGGATATAGGCTAGTCTCTCAAGCATGTGGAATTCAGCAATTACACTTCATGTTTCAAACCGTAAACTGGTTGCTGGTTAGGCAGGGGCTGGTACGTTGAGTATGGTGGGAGCACAACTGTTTTTTAAAGCCTATCTGAAGAATCTGTGATACTGTGGGCATTTGTAGCAGTCTGGTAAAAAAGGAATGCTTTTTAAATTGAGTTATACTGAGGCACCAATAACACAGGGATAAACCATAACAACTTCTTTGGTAAGATCCTTGGGTATGTTTATGTACTACCTTGCTGTGATCTGTATGGCCATAAGCTACATCAGCATCAGCCTACACCTCCATGAAGAACTGATCCATACACAAACTCAGCCCTTCGGCTAGATTGGCGTTTGCACTAAATGCCTCTGCAGTTGGTTGAGCACTGCATGCTCACAGGCTTTCATTCCCTAACGTCTGTGTAGTACGCTGTTTCCTGGAGATTTTTATTGCACTCTAAACCAAACAGATCATGTTCAGGTGATATTGAAGTCTTGTCCTAACAGACAGACCCGCAAAGGGATTTTGCTTTTAAACTGTATTCAGGGACAATTAAATAGAAAATATGTGAACAAACTGGAAGGAGTCCCTGAGCCCTCCTCTCTTCCTCTGTATCGGTGGTCCAGAAATCCGTATCTGCTCTTTCCTGACTGCAAGGAGGTACGACTGCAGCAGCTTAAGGGAACATTGTCCAGCCTTCTGCCTGGCTGATAACCTGCTGGTTTGGGAACAACCTGTAAGATAATCTAGAAGCCTTTTGGGCAGTGGATAATTGAGTTCTTGTCCCACCCAATAGCAGAAGTCAGGCCACTTGGAAATTCACATAACAGAGCCTAACAAAGAAGGGTTGGGTGTTATTTTTCTGGCTCCCACTCTTGACCCTACGTGCAAAAAATTCAACCAAAGTGAAATGTAAATAACTAAGACTTTTCATATGTGGGTTCAAGTTGCCTTCGTGAGTAGCTAAGAGCCTTTGGCCCTCTGCATAGCCACTCCCTTATTTGACTTGTAACATCAAGCTTTCTCAGGTGAGGTGTGCTCTGAAGTACTTTTTTTTTTTTAAACAAAAAATGCTTATAGTCACCTCTTGACTCATTCAAGCTACTAGAAGAGAACAATCTAGTAACTGTGCCTATATAGTAACTTTTTGCCTATATGCCTTGCATATGTCATTTTCTATCTCAGCTTTTGAGGATGAAGTTTAAACAATTGAGATCAATAGCTTATTTGACTACTGTCCTGCTCCTTCATTTTTTTTGTTCTCCCCAATGCCAGGGCAGGATTCTTCTCTTCTGTTTCATTGCTTTGTCTCTAAAATTAAATTGTCAGATGAAGATAGGCACTTACACAATTTTTCTTTAACTAGGTTAGTTCTTCCAAATGGTCAAATTTAAGTTCTTAAAGGTTTTACAGGAAATACTGTATATAGACAAATGTAACATGATATAACTCTACCAGCAGTACTGAGTTAGAAATATAACACACCTTAGTAAATAGGCATGCATTCATATTTCAAACTCTGTAGATATCAGATGAATAACTGACACCAGGTGTCTTTCTAAGAGGTCTTCTAGTTAGTCCCTCAAATATATTGCTTTTATTCTTGAATCATCTAAATTATATAAGCCTTTATAAACTACACCCATTAATTGTAGATCTCACATTCTACTTAGCCAGCCTACAATTTATTATTGTTTGTATATTGCCAAACTTACAACCATTTGTGAAACTTAGTATACATTAATTACAAGGTTAATTGCTTAAGCTACTTTTTCAATCGCAAAGATTTTTTTGCATTAAATATAAACCATAATTCCATTTCCTTACATTCAAAGCCTCAATAACCTTACATCTGCCACAAAGACCAAGGCTGGGATTAGACATGCAATTCTTTCAGCTGATGAGCTCTTTAAGTTGCCTCTGCCCCTCTGCCCCTGACTGCTAAGTCTCACCACTTCAGGTGACTAATACAACTGTTTGTGTACATTAATCCAAGCCTTAGCAAAGCCTTTCTAGAGGGTTTCGAGAGGTCTCCAAACCTTAATACAACTCTCTTTGAACAGCCATTCTTGCAAAAGGCAATAGTCTACATAACAAATACCTTAACACAGTTGACACTATCCTCTAGAGTTTTTATACCTTCATCTATACTGGACGCTATACCAGTCAAATATCAGCAGTTACTTCCTGGTGCTGGATAGTTTAAGAAATAAGAACCGTTGTATTTCTAATGTGGATGACCTGGAATTGCCATCAATAGTCTTGCTAGATTCTCAAATTGCTCTAATTTACCCTCCTCTTTTGTTGAAATCAATGTCAATGTACAACTACACATGCAACTGTTTTCAAAATCAAACTTCTCTTACCTTTTCAATACTTTTCCTGATCCCACTCCCTTCACTGCTTCTGCATCTCCTCTGAGAACAGCAAGGAAATTCTTAGGAGTAACATCCTAAGGATTGAAGAGGATTAAAGTTAAATCTGATCTTAAAACCAAAATCAAAATCTTCATTTAGAAAGATGGCTTCTGAAAGTCAGAATCCATGCATGGATGGCAAGTTTAGCTGACCATCCCTTTCAATCTATCATTATATGATGTATTAGCCACTGATGACTCACTTGGATACCGAATCATGAAATCACCAAGTGATTGAATTACTATTCTGATTTAGTAAAACAATTAGCCTTAAACAGCTGTTCTTCACATTGAGTTACAACATTTATGAATGCAAGACTTTCCCTTCTTTTATTTCATGTGGCAGCACAGAAACAGTGTACAGATTTACTTTTATGACCACTGCTTCACTTCAAAACATCTATTGCTTACATTCATCTTTTGAACACCAAACTTCATGCCAAACCATGCAGGTGCATAAGCTGGAGGCTTTATACTATGTGTATTTTGCAGTGTAAGCTACAGGTGGAAAGGACTTCTTCAGAACATTGGCTAATGCTGAACCTTCCCTGGGGAATGGTGTTTCATCCTACCTCCTTTGTATAGTCCTTGGGCACTCCAGCATACACGTCTGTGCCATTAGGTCTATTGATGACAATGCCTTTCGTTGGATTTCTGAAAGTTGCATAGAACATAAACATGAAGAATTAGCCATGTGCCACACAATGACCACAAAACAACTAGGAAACCATTTCAACTGTCCTGACTGGCCAGCTTGCCTGAGAGACAGTATGGGTGCTCGCACCATGTGTCATTAAGTATCTCAGGATATAAAGGCCTTTTCACTTCAGTCAGTTACATATGCTCACCTCAGGTGTCCTTACCCTCAGAGTATCTTCAAGTATCCTGCCTCAGATCATGTCAATTAATCTGAAGATGCAGGCAGGTGGTCTCTTATACTATCATCTCTCTACTTTCAGTCTTGCCTTTAGTCCCCTTTCCTCTTTGCTCCCAGTGCTGCTGTGCATGTGAAGTCTGCTGATTTCTGCTGAAGTTGTCTCAGAATTAGAGGCTGTATAACTGAACTGTTTCATATAGAAAGCAATGGTATGTTCTAGACAGTCACCAAGAATGGGAGATGCAGACTTCTTTCTGAATGTACATTCTGGGAATTAATCTGATAATATCCTTTCAAAAAAGTCCTGCAAATCATACATGGCGCTTTCCTGTATTTGTGGTTTTAGACTATTTATCTGCTGTGAACTGTTACGCCTGGGAGTTAAGATCACTGACTCCCATAACAATGAAGCTCTGCAGTTCTCAGTGCCACAACTGATGCTGAGTTATGGAGTAAGGCTTAGAAAGCACATGAGCACATTTCAAAGGAGAATTATTGTGTTGATGGATAAAATGTCTCTATGCATATCACAGGTGGTTTTAAAGGCTTTTCTTACAAAACTGCTACAAACTCAAAACACATTGGTGACTGTGGCATGTTTGTAGTAACGATATAGTTTGTAGTAACGATATAGATATATATGTTCATCACTAGATATCTATGTTCATCACTTACTCGTCATTATCAGCGATGTCATCATACATCATGACAATGATCTGTTCATCTGGAATTCCATTTCGGTGTACAATCTGGTATGCATGGCACACGTCTGCCTGAAATTAAGCAGATTTTCACTACTAGCTTTAACAGAGATTTTACCTTTGAGAACAGAAGAAAAATTGCTTTGCAGGCTTAAGAACAGGCTGTTGTCCAAAAGAAACTGCGTTCAAATAGAAGAGATTGAGGGTTGCTAGAGGGCTGAAATGCACAGGTTAAACCAAAACTCAATGTTTGTAGTTGGATTAGTAATAGAGACTATGATTAAAATCTCTCCCTCATTTATGTATTTTCGTTTCTTATTTAAACAGAAGTTACTTCAGAGTTGGTACGGATTACGAAATTTAACAAAAGGTTCTCAGCAGTGTTCTGCATTCTGTGAACAAATCTAAATGAAAACCTTGTGCACTGACAGACAAATCCGAAGTGTGCTAAGCAGAAGAAGAAAAGAGTTGGTTTTCCACCAATTTAAATTAGTTCTGTACCAAGCCTGCATGACTAAGCATCGAAGGCTGTCCTCAGCTTAAGCTATGGTTTACCAATCTCATCTCTGCAAAGATTTTATTAAATTTTGTTTTACTAGATGAGAATTTTTGTTAAGGAAAATTTCCTTTCTAATTATGTATTTCTTGTAACACTGAAGCAACTTCAGATTTCAGCAGAAAACAGGTTCCAGTAGAAAACAGAATTGCAGAATTTCTATTCAGGCTCTTTTCATGACTTGTAGAGGATATGAATAAGCAGATTTTCTTTACAGAACCATCCTCCCATGACACAGAAATAACAATACTCATCAAAGTGATATTACAGTAAATGCAAACCTCTATCAGAATGCTGAATTCTTAGTAAGTCCAGCCCAAATAATTCTCTTTCTTTCAGATTTGCAGTCTGTGAATGACCTAATGGGATATAAGCAATTGTTCCTAAACTCTAGAACTACAGCCTACCACATGCTAGAAAAGCTGTGCAGATTTAATGGAAGAAAACTCATCTAACAAATGCACACTCCAAATGCAGGCAACAAGCAAGCTTGAAAGCTTACTTCTGTTGAACTAATCTAATTTGCTAGTTTGTAAATCAAACTGAAGTGGTTTAACTGGACCTACATAAGTTTAGATGACTTCTAAGTATTAGTGATTTTGACTGGTTTACGTGAAAGGACACTGTAAAATCCTGTCACTTTATAATCCTTGGTCTTCTAAGTGTGACTGAAGCTGAAAAGAGAGGGCAGTTGCACAAGATTCTGGGAAGGGTGAAGCGCACTCAGTGCTAATTGAACTCTCCCACAGCAAAACCTCTTCACGTGACTAACCCCGAACGTTAAATTGTCCTTACTGTAACAGTTCCATTTCCTACTATGCAGCTCAGCCTACGTTCTCTTTCACCTATCCCAATCTCCACTGTTTATAGTTCTCTGTTTCTTTGTATGTCATTATACCAGCTGCTGCCTCAACAAGTCAAAAGGTAGAGGTTAAATAGAGTTATCAAGGCTTCACATATAATATGAAACAGCAGAGTGCCAGTTTGACTACACACAGTTTTGATTTTCAGAAGCAACGCAAGCAAAAGTAGAAGAAAACACGAATCAGGGCATCTCTACACTGATTGATGAGTAGACCATAGATCCCCTCTCACTCCCAAGACATAATGCACCTCCTTTATGCTGACAGAAACAGTTATAGGCTGGCAACACACAGAAATGCTTAGGCATGTTATAGTGATATAATATCAACATATTCAACCAGCAAGTGTCTGTGCTCCCACAGACATGCAACTGGCCAGTAGGGACTTCAGAAGTGTTTTTAATTAATACCAATGTACCCAAAATTAGTTAAGCTTTGTCAATGCATATTATCAGCTTTTTTTGTCTTCTCTCTCCTTCTTACCAATTCATTGACTGTTTGCTCACTATGTCCTGTCTTAGTAAACAGTAAAGCAGACATTGGTGGTAAACTTAAAGGGGTTAAATTCCTTAGCGTGGAGGGAAACAGATGAATGCAATAAATTCCCCTCAACTTATGCCTGTTTGGGGATCGTCCCAAACTTTTAAGGCTTTTACTAAGGGAACTGTGCCTGCTGGTAGCATAGTGATATCCCCAACATAGGCTAGACAAGCAAAAACATGTTTTGCTGCTTAAACTCCATTGGCTAAAGTAGGACAGTTCTGAGTAAATGGTTGAGGTTTTTTGCTTAGAATTAGCTGACCTGACAGGCCACCTTTGATATTGGTCACATGCTCCTCCTGTTCCTTCCCGTACATCTAAAAGACCATATATCTCTATAAAACCAGAATAGAAACAGTCTGCTGCTAGAGCAGGGAGGCATATGTGAATCTAGAGTATTTCCTGTTGATGTGTAACTGCCTTTCAAATACTGCTATTTGAGCCTTGTTTCCTCCCAAAATATTTCTGGCATAGCTGTACTTGTCAACCTAAAAGAGACAGCTAATACTGTTTCAGATCTCTTGTTGGTATTATTCTTGTTGTTTAGTATGTGAAATGAATAATACGCACATTTACTGGATAAATCATCACTAAACACAAATCATGCTTTGGTGGCCATGATTTGGGGTGGGTAGCAGCCGCCCGGCACGGCAGAATAGAAGAGGAGAAGGGGTCGCTGTGCAGCTGCTACTGCACGACCTCAAACGACAGCTCCACAATGGCCACTGTTGATGTCATGTTTCAGACCTTTCATCCCCAGGTTAATCTAAACCTGTTGCTACATCAGCAAATTTCTATGGAAGAGCTATGCTTAAATCTGCTTAAATAATTAACTCCTAGATTTTGAAAGCATGGGGATCAGAGGTGGAATTCCCCTGTTTTCCTGGGATGGGCATTTTGTTTCCCAAAATGTACATTTGGAGGAAATTCTAAAAGGGAAAAAAAAAAGCACACTCCAACAGCTGTTTACGCATTTGAGTGACACAGCTTTCAAGCAGACTGCCTGGGGGGCTGGGGTGGAAAAATCAAGTTATTTTATGACACATGCATGCATAAATAGTTCCTAAAGGGAAAAGCTTGGACTTCTGTGAAATTGATTACTTCTGGTCTTATGACTGCTAGGTTCATGGCCAAAACATACGTGTAATGAACTGTCAGCTTCATTGCAAAGTGGCACGGTTCCTGTTACAGGTACACTGAAATGCCACAGACTAAAAGAGAATTAACTCTAATATATAAGCATGGCAGAACAGTATGTCTGAAATGCCAGCCATGTTTCATTCCCTTGCTTAAACATACATCAGTGAAACAGCCAAAAACTATACTGTATTAAGAACTTAGGAAAGGTTTTTCCTGTAGCTTCAGTTATAATTTTGTAAGCACAATGAGGAAATGTTAATTGAAGCCAAGTAGCCAAGGCATCCTTAATGACTGTTACCTGCAAAACTGGAGAGATAGGACTGTCCTGGAATAAGATACTGCTCTGGTTGGTAGTGTCCAAAACCTTGAATAAATACAGTCCCTGGCCCATAAAACTCAGTAAGTATAAGATTAAACACAACAACTGAAAACAGACTCATGTATGCAAATTTAAATGTTTTTATTTTCAGCATTTTAATTTTGCCAGACTTTTTCAGCTATTTTTCTCCTCAAGTATGTACTCCACCTTTAGTAAGACTGTGTTTCACATCAGGCTTTTCCATTGACTATGTCTTTTGGAGTATCCAGAAAGTATTGGTCTGTCTCTGATCTGTTTGTGAAGCCAGATTTAGGTTTGAGTTAGCTGGTACGATCATCTCCCAAGAGAGGCAGTATAAACAAAATTCTACTTCTCTTAAGGAGAACTAGTTTCTTGGCTCATTCTCTAAATCTACCAGTAGCATTTAGTGCTGTATTTGCTCACGTATGTCCCTAAGCTTTCCAGAGGTATATCATTGAGCTCTTTGCATAGTAGAGAGCTGAGCCGCCTTCTCAAGGAATGGGGGAGTACACTTTCTGGCATATATTGCATGCTTAGTTGCATTTCGGGAATAGCAGCCACTCTGGTAATAAAAAAAGCTGCTATAGAGAAGTCAGAATAACTGCCGAGTAACAGAGAGGAGCATGCCAATAGTCCTTCCACAGCCCAAGCAACTCTAATCAAAAACACTAAGATATGGGTAAAAAGACCAAAGAACTGAGAAGCCACAAGCATAAGGCAATATACAAGCTAGCTTTGCAGTGCCAGTAAGCCTACCGCATCGGGCAGTATACTATTCAAAACGTGTAAGATTTATTTTAGGAACTTGATGAGATAAATGTGTAAGACAAGTTTAGATCATCCTGATTAGGAAACAGTCCCAGTTCAGCTATCACAGAGGAAACAAGTGCCTGCAAGGTGTGAATCGCACTCATAGATAAGTGCAAACACTGGGGTTTTTTCCTTATCTTGTCTACACTTGAGGTTTGCACCACTGATAGTGGATCCTGACCACTGACAGCTGAATTACAAGTCTTAGAAGCAGTTTCAGATTCCTTGAGGTTACAGGTGCAAACTCGGCGTTTACAGGGTCTGCAGAGTCTTTACAAACTTACTGATCATGGGGTCTGTACAGCATACAGTGATGGACTCTTTTCCCCACAAATTTTCATGTATGAAATTGAGACATTTTTGAAGGTACAATATTCTTCTCCTCCTTTTATGGGGGCTTAGTCAGACGAACACATCCTGCCATCCAGTAACTACTGCGGAAGGCAACAGAGTATGTTTTGACCGGGTTGTGTGCAGACAGCACGCAAAACAACTGGGGATCACAAAGTATAAACGTAATACAAACATGCAATATCATGTATTAACTGTGCCCTGAACAGCTGAACTGAGCAACTGAAACCCAGAGAGGTGTCAGCTGAGGTCTCACATTACAAAGGGATATGATGAGTGCTTAGTTGCATGTGGGGAATAGCAACCAGTCTAGTAACAAAAAAGTCATGTTGAGTTAACTACTTACAGGAACATTCACATCTACAAACTCACTTGCACGCAGGCTAGGTCAGAGAAGTTCTGAGAAGAAAGGTGATGGCAGGAGGAAAGCAAGTTAAGAGGACAACATATCTTCTTCTGCAGTTTCTCCCTTGGAAAGCAAAGAATTACACAAATCTGCAATCCTGAAGCACTGCTTTGCTTTCTCACAGTACAGATATTGTTCTACTGAAAAATAGCGTGTTTCTGCATGTGTTCACTATGGAATGATTTTCATGATGGATGAAGCACAGAACTGGAAGTCCAAGTCCTAGTCATGGTTCCACTGCAAGTGACTTCAGCAAATATTACAGTGCTTTTGTTTCCACTGCTGGAAGGTAGGGAGCACTAACACACGCAAAGACATGGTGATCAGTCTGCATAAAGTTTCCAAAAATCTGTTTTAAGATTTTTTTTTTTAAGATCCTGAGATGTCTGTAGTACCTTTCCTCCTCTGTATAACTCTCCTGAAAGTCTGTGGTTCAGCCTGTTTTGCTGGAAATAATTTTCCACAATTTTTTGATATACAAGGCAACCTTGCCTGGATTTCACTTCACAGAACACACACAGTGGATTTTGCATGACTGATGGGTCTGTCTCACAGTATGCCCTCCCACCATGTGTGCTCACCCTTGCCAGGCCCTTAAGGTTGGCCACAAAATGCCAGCAGGCAAGAGAGCACAGGCTGTTGATGCCCTGCATCTTCTGGGAATTGATTCTTTTCGTAAAAAGTTAGAGATACGGTATCTTGCCCAAGACAGGCAAGTAGGAGCTCAGCCCCATTCTGAATGACCCTTCACACAGGCTCTTTTATTTTATGACACTGACTTTATGACTTCAATAGGATTATTAGTGGTATTCTAACCTTCTTTTTTTCCAAATGTTAATACTGTACCTCAACCAATACAAAAATTCCTAGGATTGAAATTCAGAACAATCTGATGTTGCAGATATTTTGCATTGTTAGTTGACATTATCTTCAAAATGAAGGTGTTTAAAGGAATCCCATTCTCATTTTTCTTAATAACTGTCCACAAAGCATGACCACACTCAAAAATCAATTTGTTTCTGTGAAACTGGCATGTTCAAAAGACTTATTGTTGGACGCAAATATGTAAGCGTGCATCTTGTGTTCTTCATAACTCCATTATACCTGGCATATATACTTGCCACTGAGGGCTCACTGACAGCAAGGTTAAAAATCTCTATGCTTGGGCAACTATAGAAAAGTAATTCTTATGAGCTTCAAAAATTTCTTTTTTTTTTTTTTTTTTTTTAAAGAATGAATGTTGCAGTATTAATTCCTCGTAGAGTGGAGGGGAGCCAGCGAGACTGGTTATACAGCAATAGCAATAACCAGAGCAGAACTCAGTAATTATATTTAGACACGCCAGGGCAGGCAGTGATCAACTACAACACTAATATTTTTATAATTGTTTTCTGATTTCAACTTTTAAAATCTCTTTTTTCAGATTTAATTTGAAATAGGAATGGTTTATATTAAGGCTGTAACTACAGTTACTACAGTTGTCAGGCAATCGCTACACTGCAAGGAGCAGGCAAAATCCCTAAAACCAGTTTGTCAAAGTGTTGAGCTAACATTTGCCAGTAACAGGTTCTTCTTCAGATGCAACAAGGTTGTCAATCTGGTTCATTCAGTCTGAAGCTCATCACTGCGCTGAAAGTCACAAACTGATGGTAAGCTGAGGGGGAGGAGAAACAGAAACATAAAAGCCGCCTGCCCAACACACGGAAGGCTTGTTTCTACCTCAGTTAACACAAGGAGAGATGAAGCCTCTCTAGATTTTACAGGCAGTTACATTAAAAATAATAAATACTTTAAAAGTTTCAGTGTTCAGCAAATCAGCTTGATAGATGTAGCTAGTACATTTAATACAGTTTAACTTTTAAAATGCTGGGTTTGTACACTAGTGTTTCAATCTCTGCTCGAGTTCACCTTAACCAACTTAGCTGGACTTAACCAAGTCCAGTAAACTTTTTTCGTAACATTTAGACATATACAAATGTATACATAAAGCAGAATTAAATGGACTGTGTTCTCCAGGAAAGCAAGAGGTAGTTCCAAGTTTGGAGCAAAGACTGCATTTAAGTTTAGATTAATCTGTTTAAGGGCTTGCCCAAGAATTCCCTAAAGGGGAAAAACTGGTGTAGTCTCCTGACTGCTGATTATAAGTCTTGAACTTAATCAGAGTTAAGTCACTTGGATTTAATCCTGTCCATCCTGATACTCACACTCAGAACACAATTCCACAGCACACTGGCTTTGACAGCAGTGTCAAACTCAGGAGATCCTGTTCCCTTTTCTCCTCTTTCTGCCATTCACTCTGATCTCTGCACCCCCGTGTTCTGCATCCTTGTTGTGCCAACACAACTCTGAGACCATGCTGTCAAACTCAGAGCAAACTGCAGTTTAAAAAGAAGGCCCTTCTGCATGTCCTCCACCCTACAAAAAAAATAGTGTGCATTTGCAGCCTTTGCAGATTTTTTAACTGGAGAGAAGAAAGGGAGCTTTTTTCATAAAGAAAAAGGGAAAACAAATGGAGAGAAACATGCATGTATCTCAAAATGAGGTTTAATTCTAGGCATCATTTGTTCACCGGCATGTTGGGGTCAGATCCTGTAGCCTAGTAATAGACTATTTAGCCTAAATGATACAGGCCTCCCAGGATACAGAAGCGTGCTTAGAGGAAGAATACTGCTCTTCCTGCTAAAGACAGTTTTCCAATAGATGAAAGACTGGACAAAGTTGCAAGAAAAAAAAAATTAAATAGTAAAAGGAGCAGTGGAGGGGAGTTCTTGGGGTAAGAATAACAAGAATTAAGAGCAGGCTCTGAGTGAATCTTGATGCTATTCGTTTTGAAAACTTCACACGCTCCTGGAAGTCTAGCAGTAGAAGCACTTGCCCAAATGACAGAAGGGCTGAACTAGTCTAGGCAGCTATCATCTCCCCACGAGCCCCAGAGCAGGCGTTTTCTCAAGTGTGACCAGCATCAGCATGTGGGACCCGTGGCCCTTACCTGGTGTCGATAGTTGTACCAGCCGTTTGAACCTGCAACAATCACCACCCAGTGCTTGCCTCCATCTTCAGGTTCTTCCATGGGGAATGCGCTGATGCCCAGAGCACAGCTCAGCAGCAAAACTGCTTTCAATATCATCTCTCTTCTTTCTTTACTCCACAAACAGGAGAAAAAAAAAAAAATCCCTAAGGAAGAAGTTTCAAAGTAGCTCAGAGAACATCAGTCAAAAATAAAACAAATGTAAACCAAACATCAGTAGTATCACAACTGGAAGCTTTTCTTGCTTTGGGTTTTTTTTTTTTTGTGTTTTACAGACCATTCAACTCACAGTACAATTTCTGGTCATATCTTCTTTTAGCACCAAGCTGCTACTAGTTACAAGAGTTTTCTGTCAGCTTTCAGATCCAACTGAAAGCAATTCTGAATAGGACAACCAAGTCTTTCAGCTCCCTCTGGTTGTTTTGTTCTATAGTATCTAGTAATAAATAAGCCTCAAATGCAGAGCAAGCCTCACTATCAAGTATTTCAAAGATAAAATTTTTTCAGATTAGTATTATTCTCTTGGGTCTCTGCTTATATAGTTCTCTGTTTTCCACTCGCTGGCAATTAGCCCATTATTATTGAGTCAAATCCCGGGTGATGTAGACATAAGGATGCATAGACATGAAGAATTGCTTGGGAGTTGGTCAGAGTGTCACAAAAGCTCTCTGTGCCCCCAAAGCCAGAGAGGTTGGAAAGAGGTTGCGCCACTGATCTGCACAAGATACAGCCCTAACTGCTGGGGCTGGGGGGAAGTGCCGTCTGTGTGAGCCTCATGCTATTTGTGCAACCTGTTAAGCTAGCAAATGTGAACCAGTACCACATAAAAGAGTAGCATTTTCGTCTCTTTTGCACAATGGTTAAGTGTTTACACAAGGTGCACAGCGAGAGAATCAGGTCTGAGCCTGTGAACGTCAAATTCAGAAAAGCAGAGCCAGAGCGGAGGTTTGAGCCCATGCAGAAATGCCTCCTCCTGCTTTTTTGAAGGAACTAGAAGTAGTGTCCCCACTACTGAACTTCCTGAGCACCTTGATTGTCTGACAGAGTGCCTGCTCTACAAGCTACCAATCTGGCCATATCTAATCAAAGGTTTGCTTTTTGGGATTTGGTGGTTTCTTTGGTTTTTTTTGGGGGGGGG